GGGGGTACCTGCACAGGTTTGTTGGTGTTTTACCAACAAAAAAAAGCGGTGGTGGTAACGTTTTGTTTTACCAGTCTCTACGAATGGAGGGCGATATGAGCAAAGTTCCCGGTTACCCCTTTACCTCCCCGCGGGGCCCATGGAAAATAGAGAGCACATTCCGTATATATATAGAAATCCTCCGGCCCATTGTTGAAAATTTGTTTCTTGTTTCTGGCTGGGTGTATAGATTTGGGGCAGGCTATTGGACATTTTGAGAGGGTTGAATGCATGGACCTGAATCGGTCAACTAGAACGAAGAAGCTGGCTAAGGCAGTAGTCTCTGTGAAGATGTTTGAGTCTTTCTTCCCAGTGCTGCATTGGATTATACAGCTACTGTGAATTCTTAGAGATACAAAGATTGACAAAGGCAAAAGGGGATATGATCAAGTGAAAGAGGTGGCAAGATGATGATTGATACAGGACTAGGGAACAAGGTGGCAAGATAATGATAGTAAAAATAAATAGCACTTGTATAGTGCTTATTCTCGCTCGGCAACAAGCTCTATGCGCTTTACATTATATTGAAATAAAAATTTATACTTAATGGCATAGTGGCTTACTTCTAGTAGAAATGTTTCAAGAATTGATGCTGTTTATGGTACAAAAGAAACCCCAAAACAATCTTCCCTCCGACTGATTTCCCCCGGCGCAGCCCGGAAGTAACCGCAGGCAATGGGGCGCCCCCGTGAAGCTGTCTCCGCGCGGCACTCTGGACACCGACGCCCTCATCTCTGACGTGCAGAGGGAGAAGGACAGGCAGGAGTACCTGGATCAGTGGAAGCGACAGCACGACGGACAGGTGAGGGTGGGGACGGTGAGGTCGTAGAAAGAGTAAGGGGGAGACAGACGGAAAGGGTACAAAATACACGTCGAGCCTGTCCAAGACCGCCATCCTTTGCTGAGGAGAAAAGTTGTCATATTAGGCAGGTGGTCTCCTATTGGACATTGTCATTATAAAACTATAGAAAAAAAGCAAGGAAGTAGTGGGAAGTGATCGTTTGTGCTAGTGATTGTCTTGGACAGGGGGCTGTTAGAGCTGGTTCGATATTATATGATTGGATGAACCGAGGGTGAGCACAGATACTGATAAAAGAGGATGGACAGTTTGGGAAGCGGGATATTAATGATCATCCCCAGGGTGTGCACGAATCAAGAGGATTGTACAGAAAAGGATACGAGAAAAAGACATGTGGGGGACGAATGAAGAAAAATAAAAGGATAGATTGAAGACAAGGATGGCGGTAGATGGATTAAAATTTTTGAGACAGGAATACGTGGGCGAGTTAAAGCCATAGCTTGAATGTCATGCGAGGGAGACACGTATAGATAGAGGAGTATGTGGGGATGAGTATAGAAAAAGAGTATAGAGGAAGAGTAAAGATGGTGAGTATAGATCAAGGCTGAAGAAAATGAGTATAGAAGAATAGTAAAGAGGATGAACAAAGATGACTAGTCCAGAGGATGAGTATAGAGAATGAATACAAACGACGAGTATATATGAAGAGAGAAGCAAAGGAGTTCAGAGGAATAGTAACGGGACTGATACGTTAGTAGATATAGATGATAGGCCGTGTGGAGAAGCTGCACCACGTTTAAGCACCAGTATGCTATTGAGGATGTTTCTGCAAGACCGAGAGACCGGGCGTGTCTGCGATGTAGTGGTTTGGCACTTTTTCCGCCTCACGCCGTTGCAAGACTGAGTTCAATTTCCGTGTGGGGATTTTTTTTAAATTGAGGGTTTCTGTCTTTCTGCTTGGACGTTGTGTCTCTTTTAACTTGGGTTGGCCCTCACAGTCAGGGTCGAATCCCACCTCCTAGTTGGTCTAAAATGTATCAATGGGGACATAAAAACATCGCATTATAATTGAGTTGAGGACAGAAAGGCATTTAGTGTACAGAGATTTGTGTGAAATCTGGGTCGCCCACAGTAATAAAATTAACGTGCGTGATGTTTTCGAACGGAGAGTAGCAATGGAATTAATGGATGTGCTAATATTGTTAACCAGGACACAGGCAGATGTTTGGTAGAGTTATATCGTCTGCGGAACGGATGCAGCCGCTAACAATGTTTTTTGGTGAGGTTAGGGGTTGGGGGGAGGGGGGTATGTTAACCTTTTAACCTTTGGGCTTATCATAGATCGAATTATTTATGAATCTAACACGAAAAGCAATGGTTTGAAATTTAATGCCTGTTTTTTTTCGTTTTTCTGTATGATACCGTTACGCGCATGCCTCTGAATTTTTTTTTCGTAAGTGGCGTGGCGTCGCTTCGGGGCCCGACCTTGGCAGCAACTGGTGCTCGAACGCGGTATAGCCTTTACGCACTAGATTGAGGGCCACTAGATGGAGGGGCAGTCAAATTTTAATGAAGATGTCCCTGTGAGATTGTCCCAAGAAGAACAGTGGGTAAGAAGCTAGAAAGGATTACGAACCAAGTGTGAGAAAAGGAGACCGTGGTGTGGTGATTTGGAAATGTAGGTTAGAGGAAGAAAATAAGTTTTAGAATTGAACTTGAATTAATACTGTTTCTGTCCTATGACATCCAACTGTACTCGTGTAACAGTTACCATCGTATTTTATTATTGCCACGTGTAAAAGACAGATTGGGTTGTTACAAGTTTGTTTTCGTATTCTAGACGTGGGAAACCATCATTGTTTTGGAATATTTCAGGTTAATTTTTGCACTCAGTTATAATAGTATGTCTGATTGTTAATTGATTGTATTCACAGTTTGCGGTGTAAATGTTGTTGCTGCACCAGTTATCTCTTCACAGACACACCCTTATGTTGCACACAGTCTGCGTGTATGGAATAAGAAGTGGGGTATACGAAAAAATAAAGAAAACGGTTCGAGATAATGCTGCAGCTGAGAGTAAACATCCATAAATGCTGGTGTCTGTGGTGTAGGGGTAAGGCGTTTTGCTGTCGCACACAGGAGATCCGAATCGATTCACGTGTCATGGGAATGAGAATTTGTATCGAGTATCTCAGTCTTTTTGCATGGACGTTGTATCCCTCTCTGCCCAGGTTGGCAGCTCGCTTCGTAAGTCATATGCATAGTGCCGATGCCATAAAAACACTTACATAAAAAACAACAACAACCGAAATACTCCTCCCCCTTAAAGACAAAAAACAAATCAAGAAACCCCGATATCTTCCCCAAAACTGTAATCAAGGAAATAATTTTAGAGCGATTCAAAAGTTAAAAACAACAACAACAATAAAAATATTGGCAAGAGGAAAACAAAACAAAAGAAAATAAAACGAAAATAATAAAATAAACGGTCATCGAAATCTTTTTTTTTTCATAGACAGTTTAAGAACCATGGCCTTAAAATCTACACTAGTCCAGAGGATGAGTATAGAGAATGAATACAAACGACGAGTATATATGAAGAGAGAAGCAAAGGAGTTCAGAGGAATAGTAACGGGGCTGATACGTTAGTAGATATAGATGATAGGCCGTGTGGAGAAGCTGCACCACGTTAAAGCACCAGTATGCTATTGAGGATGTTTCTGCAAGACCGAGAGACCGGGCGTGTCTGCGATGTAGTGGTTTGGCACTTTTCCGCCTCACGCCGTTGCAAGACTGAGTTCAATTTCCGTGTGGGGATTTTTTTTAAATTGAGGGTTTCCGTCTTTCTGCTTGGACGTTGTGTCTCTTTTAACTTGGGTTGGCCCTCACAGGCAGGGTCGAATCCCACCTCCTAGTTGGTCTAAAATGTATCAATGGGGACATAAAAACATCGCATTATAATTGAGTTGAGGACAGAAAGGCATTTAGTGTACAGAGATTTGTGTGAAATCTGGGTCGCCCACAGTAATAAAATTAACGTGCGTGATTTTTTCGAACGGAGAGTAGCAATGGAAATAATGGATGTGCTAATATTGTTAACCAGGACACAGGCAGATGTTTGGTAGAGTTATATCGTCTGCGGAACGGATGCAGCCGCTAACAATGTTTTTGGTGAGGTTAGGGGTTGGGGGGAGGGGGGTATGTTAACCTTTTAACCTTTGGGCTTATCATAGATCGAATTATTTATGAATCTAACACGAAAAGCAATGGTTTGAAATTTAATGCCTGTTTTTTTCCGTTTTTCTGTATGATACCGTTACGCGCATGCCTCTGAATTTTTTTTTCGTAAGTGGCGTGGCGTCGCTTCGGGGCCCGACCTTGGCAGCAACTGGTGCTCGAACGCGGTATAGCCTTTACGCACTAGATTGAGGGCCACTAGATGGAGGGGCAGTCAAATTTTAATGAAGTTGTCCCTGTGAGATTGTCCCAAGAAGAACAGTGGGTAAGAAGCTAGAAAGGATTACGAACCAAGTGTGAGAAAAGGAGACCGTGGTGTGGTGATTTGGAAATGTAGGTTAGAGGAAGAAAATAAGTTTTAGAATTGAACTTGAATTAATACTGTTTCTGTCCTATGACATCCAACTGTACTCGTGTAACAGTTACCATCGTATTTTATTATTGCCACGTGTAAAAGACAGATTGGGTTGTTACAAGTTTGTTTTCGTATTCTAGACGTGGGAAACCATCATTGTTTTGAAATATTTCAGGTTAATTTTTGCACTCAGTTATAATAGTATGTCTGATTGTTAATTGATTGTATTCACAGTTTGCGGTGTAAATGTTGTTGCTGCACCAGTTTTCTCTTCACAGACACACCCTTATGTTGCACACAGTCTGCGTGTATGGAATAAGAAGTGGGGTATACGAAAAAATAAAGAAAACGGTTCGAGATAATGTTGCAGCTGAGAGTAAACATCCATAAATGCTGGTGTCTGTGGTGTAGGGGTAAGACGTTTTGCTGTCGCACACAGGAGATCCGAATCGATTCCCGTGTCATGGGAATGAGAATTTGTATCGAGTATCTCAGTCTTTTTGCATGGACGTTGTATCCCTCTCTGCCCAGGTTGGCAGCTCGCTTCGTAAGTCATATGCATTGTGCCGATGCCATAAAAACACTTACATAAAAAACAACAACAACCGAAATACTCCTCCCCCTTAAAGACAAAAAACAAATCAAGAAACCCCGATATCTTCCCCAAAACTGTAATCAAGGAAATAATTTTAGAGCGATTCAAAAGTTAAAAACAACAACAACAATAAAAATATTGGCAAGAGGAAAACAAAACAAAAGAAAATAAAACGAAAATAATAAAATAAACGGTCATCGAAATCTTTTTTTTTTCATAGACAGTTTAAGAACCATGGCCTTAAAATCTACGACCCCCCCCCCCCCTTTCCAAAAAAAGAAGAAAAACAAAGCCCCAGCAAAAAAACAAAAAAACAAAAACAAAACCGCGGCATCTTTTGTAACGTCTCGATTTAAGAAATGGCGCCGCTGCAATGCTATTATTCCTTCCCCCCTCCCACTCACACACTCATACTCCGAGACACATCCACTCTCTCAAACGCAGATGCATGAAAGTGTGCGCACAAATGCACGCGCAGGCTAGAGTCTTGTCACGGACGGTCGCAATCGACATACGGATTAATAAATATTGATGTTTATTGCTATGAGGTCAATTGATGTCAGCCTGCCGGTAAAAGTAAATCGCGTAGCAACAGAGCGTATCTTGACGTAGCCACTGGTATACATATATAATTATTATAGAAGCAGGGAAAACAATAGCTCTGCTGAGTGCGGTAAGGATGTGGAATCTCCGGCATTTCCCCAAATTACACTGCCAGACTGAAAGTCTTTTGTTATAAACTGGTGTCGTGGGCCCGACGTCTTGCGATGTCACATAAAGCCAAAATAATGACACCAGTTTTACAAGTGTGTCGCT